TTGATAATATAAGCTGCGTCATGCAGCATTCTTCTCTCCTACCCTTGTCTAAGTGTGATGGCTACAGTTCTTTGAGAGTGACGAAGTTGCATGATCTATACACTTTGGCGTGAGATGGTCCACAGGACCCATGCACTCGTCACATTTTTCACAAGTGGACAACAGGGCCCTGCCCCCCTTTTCAGCCTATAAGTAAACCCCCCAAGCACCGAAAAGGGCATTTGGGTCCCTAAGGCCACATTAAAAATAGAAAAGAAAAGAAGAAATGAAAAGAAATGAAAGACCCCTAATCACTTCTTGGAAGTTTCGGTGGTTAATATGCTGCTATCTTCCACTCTTTTTTTTTTCCCTTTTCAAAAACCAAAAACACATCCATTTCATATTAAAATTTAAAAGCAGTTTGACTATCTTCCATCTTGACAAGCTGGTGCTGTTACTTTCTTGGGTTGGGTGTTTGCAGGCTAATTTTCTATCTTCTATCGAGAGTGATGCATGCACCGGTCATTTCATTTACCCTCCTCAATCAACCTGTTCAATTGCCGAGGGAAATCCAGGTCTTTACGCTGCCCTTCGATTGCTCATTTAAATTTTAATTTAAAGTTTTGATATGTTTTTTTAACGCTTAAATACGGTTTTTTAAAATTGTTTTGTGAATTGCTTTTCAGGTGGGTCCTCTTTTTGGACGATGACGGTGACGTACGTTATAGCACCGCAGCTCGGCGCTGGATGAAGGATGAGACAAAGTTGGAGGATGAGCATCGTTCGGATTCACCAACGGATGGTAAGAACTGTTGAGTCCGTTAGGAGGGCGGGGCGATTCAATCGTTTTCGCCGCAACTTTTCGAGAAATCTTATTCGATGATTATTATTCAGTGCATCGAGTTATTATCAAGGGTATTTAGTAGTTAGTATTTAATAAATTACATTTCCGCATCTCGTTTGATGCAAAATACCGTCAAGTCCAAAAACTTTTGATCTTGAATTCGTGATAACAAGGCGCCACTTATACACTGAGCTTCAGTGTGCTTCACCCTTCGCTAACTATTTTGCGTTTTCCAATTTCGTACCTTGCGCAGTGCTTTTTTATGAGGCCCAACAGAAGAGGGCAGTTCATAGACATAGCATCCACAATCCCGTTTCAACGACTTGGCTATTGATGTATCTTTCTTCCAAAGTCAGCGCTGACCAGTGTTGACTTTTCATAAGTTGACTGAAATTTCAAATTTCAAATTTGGTGATTTGCAGGCGACTCTACATGGCGCGATCACTGGAAGCAGTGTGTGCATTTCTTGCCTGGAAGAGGACTGCCAGTTTCTGACGGAGGTACACTGGAGGTGTCTGCCGCTCATGATGATCTTCATGTCTGGTACTCTCTGAACCACAGTGATGTACCAAGTGATGTTAGGGACCATGAGCTCGACCATGATGAGTCTGACAATGTATTGGACTGTGCTTCTGGCAAAGACGAAGAGGTGGTCGCGGCAACAACTGGAAGCACGGAGCGTATGATGCCAGTGGAGAATCCATGTACATCTCCTGCTGAGTGTTCTTGTGGCATTCACATGCTGTTTAAACCTGAGAGAATTGCAGTGATGGGAGATCCTCTTCGCCGCAAGACTGTGAGGAATGCTTTAAAACAGATCGTAAGCGTTGCTTCTTGCCTCCTCCTTTTTTAGTTCATCTTCTCCTCTCCTCCTATGAGGAAAGTATTCTTGAAGGGACAAGAAAGCTCTCCTCTGCGTGTCCGTCTGTCCGTCTGTCCGTCTGTCCATCTGTCCGGCTGTCCGTCTGTCCATCTGTCTGTCCGTCCATCTGTCGACCCGTCTACCCGTCCTTCCATCTGTCTTTCTCTCTACCCAGCTTCTTTCTTCTCCTCTCTCCTTCTCTATATCCTCTGTTCTTGCAACTCTTTAGTCCTCTGTCCTCCATCCTCTTCCCTCCTTCCGTTGACCTGTCTGGCCATGTGTCCTGTCTCTCTCCTACCCAGCTTCTTTCTTTTCCTCTATCCTCTGTTCTCGCAACGACTCAGTCCTCTTCCCTCCTTCCTTGTGCGCCTGCTCTGTCTTCCCTCCTCCCTCATCCATCGTCCATTGTCTGTCGTTCATCGTCCGTCGTCCGTTGTCCGTTGTCCGTTGTCCGCCCTATGTCGTCCGCCCTCCATCGCCCGCCCTCCGTCCTCTGTCCTCCGTCCCCTGTTCTCCGTCCTCCGTCCTCCGTCCTCCGTCCGCCATTCTGCATCCTCCTTCCTCCTTCCCCCTTCCTCCTTCCTCCCGCCTCCTGCCTCCCGCCTCCCTCCTCCCTCCTCCCTCTGGGAGCCCTTCTCCTTCCTGTTCATCCTCCTCGGTGAAACACTACATCAGCTGCTCATCCACTCAAACGTATTGTGCTGAAATCTGTCCATTTCTCCCTCTTCTGCATTGGAATGTCAAACTGCAGTGGACGGTTTGTTGAAGGATGCTGCCCTTTGGGGGGTTGTTCTCCCTCATTCTGCCTGTTGTTTGGGAGTGATGAATGCTATTGTCTTGCCCCGGACGTAACGCATCGCCCTCATATCTTCATCTGGTCAGAAAAGTGTTGTAAATACAACCATAAAACCCTATAATAATGTCCATATGTAACTGTTGCATTATCTTTGGGGGAAGATGGAGGAGGGATGAGAACTCTTCAGCGTGTCAAAAGAAATCGTCTCTCGGTTCATCGGACTGTAGGACCTCATCATTCCCTTCCAAAAAAAGGGAAAAGAAGAGCAAAAAATAGTGTTTCAGACTCTCTTTCTTTGCTCTCTCAGTTTTGTCCAGGGTAGTCCATATCCATGCATTGTCTATCCCTTTTGTTCTTCAGGACATTGATGTAACGGAGAAGCTTAAACCACCAGTACGTGTCCCAACCATTTTTCTACGATGCGGCAGTGCTCGTGCTGCGTCTGGCGGGATATACGGGCTTGTCGGTTGGAAAAAAGTACATCCAGGCAAAACGGGCTGTGCACGTGAGCGATTTGCCTGCATGTATTTTGTTGTGAACCGGCAGGCTGGTATGGTACATCCCGCGAAACACGGCGCGAGCGCTGCAACGTCGCACAAAAATGGCTGAGAAACATACCGGTGGTTTAGTTAGCATCGTCCCTGCGGTTTTAAGAAAAGAGACGTGCATAAATCGGGAGAAATTATTCAAATTCTTTTGGCAGAAAAGAAATAAAAACAGATTGGAGGTAGTCTATGCTATTGAACATCATATGCGTCTTCTCTTGGGTGAGTAAGAAGAATAAGGCTATGTGTGGAGTGCTGTCGTCTATACTTGACTAAGCCTCTCATACTATTGTGCTGTAGGAAGCCTGTGTGTTTTACCCTGTAGGCTGTAGCAGCATTCCTGGAAGCCTGCCAGAGCCTATGGGGTAGACCCCACTGGGGCTATGTCTGTACTTAGAAAGGCATGAATCTAGTCGAATAAGCAGCCAGGTTGATGCTTTCTTAGGATAAACATAGCACCAGTCGAACCTCACCTTACATCTTTAGGAAGTGTATTGCTTTTCTATACTTCACCAGTGCCCTGAAGCCTGTTGCTGTATACAAATATTGTACAGTAAGGTCCATTAAATTAACTCTGAGGATTCGACTTACTAGTAATAATACTATATAGTACTATAATACTCCATACTAGAGTCAATAGTGAATAACGTATTCATCTCAAGACTCAAAGGCTCTACACTCTAAAGATTCTAAGGACTCTAAAGACTCTAAAGACTCTAAAGACTCTAAAGACTCTGAAGACTCAAGAGTCTAAAGAATCTAGAGTCTAAAGACTCTGAGTCAAGCGTTCTCTAAAGTCTTTTTTTTTTTTTTAACCAATGGCATACTTCATTATATATGGAGCAAAAGGAGGCCGGGAATCCCTCCACGTCTCAACCCGGATGACTGGGCCATTACCCAGATTAGGCTCAAACTGGAAACCGGGTCCAGTGTCCCTTTCTCCCGACAAGCTACATGCTATTCTGAACAAAGGCAAAAACTGGAGAAACAAAAGACCAAATAGACCAATGATGCATTTAACCTGTATTTCCTTTTTCCCAAGATAACATGCCTTATTAAAGGCCCCTCGGGGGCAACCACACTACAAAACGACCAAATCTGAGAGCCTTACACCGTGTTATGCTTTTAAAGAGATCCGTGAGGCCCCTATGCTAAGGGAAAGGAGACTTCTAATTCCTAACGCTAAACCCTAGCTAATCCTGTTTAGCTTTCCAATACATGACGGCTCTACTTCAGGACTACCCCTGTTGCTATCCTACCCATGCTTTTCAATAGACCCACTTAAACCCTAAACCCTAGCTAAATCCTTTGAAGTTTTCTACCTTTCAAAGCATTGGAATCTGAATGTTCTTTTAGATAGACCCACTCACACCCTAAACCCTAGAAAGATCTTTTTGAAATTTCTACCTATCAAAGCATTGAAATCTCAATGTCAGATCTTTTTGAAATTTCTACCTATCAAAGCATTGAAATCTCAATGTCGAGCCCTCCACTGATGCCAACCTTCCCTGAGCCAAGACCCTTTTCTGGAAATTCTCCATTAGAGCCTTGGCTTGTAGTGGGTTTTGCTGGGCCTGCTTACGGATTCCTTTCCATTGAGACCGGATGTCCGTTTCTACCAAGTTGTATAGTGTCTCCTTCGCCTCCCGCCTGTGCATTTGCTTGTTTCCGATGACCTGTTGGCATCTGCGCTTCCATATTGTCCACAGGACATATTGCCTTACAAGCTGGAATTTGCTCCTTTGATACTGTTGCCAAATTGCTGGGAGGACACTTCCTAGCAGTAGCGTCTCCTCTCCCTTGGGGAAAGGGGAGTCCATTATTTTACCCCAGAGCGCTCTGGCTACGTCCCATAGGTACCCTGCTTCTGGGCAAAGTAGGAGGCAGTGATGCAAAGTTTCCAGTGCTCCTTCGCTGCACTGTGTGCACTATTGACTGGTGGGGTCGCGATACTGTCGACTTCGGTGCTCAGCCAGCCACGAGTTAACCGGGACTGCCACATGGAAGATCAGCCACTGCAAACTCCTTACCCTGCTTAGGCGGATATGGTGAAGGGAAGACCATGGTAGTTTCACCACTTTTTCTTTTGGACTCTGCATTCTCTTCTCCCATGTAAGTGACAAGGGTTCGGCTAAAGGGGATGAGGTCCGATGAGCGCTTCCTAAGTCTGTAGCCCAGCCTTGTTGTGTAATGGAGTATGTTAGTCCTTCTTGTTGTGCCCTTCTCTGTATCGTTCCAATTTTAACAGATGTCCCGAAGGACGAAAAAGTTCTCTAGGGTCTAAAAAACTATATATTGTCACATATTTGATGAACTAAAAGAGTGCACTTTGCAAAACAAACGATAAAAAAGACACAAGACAACCATGAAGAGCGCATTGAAATTTGAAACCATTCCTTTTCTATCATTCTTCTTTTAGCTCCCCCTATACGTTGGAAGTGAGCCCTGAAGCTTGTTCTATACTTTAAACCACCAGTAGACCGGGGCCTGCAGGCGCTCCAGTGCGCACCAACACCGCCAAGCTTTTCTGAACCGCCGGCAATACTTTTTTTTTTTTGAGTTTTTTTCTTTTTTGGCTGGCGCCGCCAGCCATTGTGGTCCGGTGCCCCCGAGCCTTGAAAAGTTTGGAGTTGGCGACTCGCGATTTTCTGCGAGGCTGGCACCGTGTACTGGCGGTTTGACGCAGTATTCCCGGAAGCCTGTTGCTTTAAACTGCTCGACAGGACAAGAGCATGCCGGAAAAAAGGACAAGCGAGGGGATATCGCTAAGCGCAAACTACCCAAGATGCATGTTCGAGTTCCCAATTGTTTTACGAGAGGGGAACCTGGTTATGGTAAATCGAGGCATCTTTCAGTCTAAAGTTTCTTTAAATTTTGAAAAGCTATTTGTACGTTTGTCTGAAGTGTGTGGTTTTCTGCGGCGGCGATGCTGTTTCGATTACTTGAGTTGTGAATTTTGAATTTTCTATTGCAGAAAAAGCGGCAGGTTGTTCGTCATTGCGTTGTTGTGGACGGAAGCGTGTTCTTTTCTGCAGTGAAGGAGCTGCACGATCCAGCAATGCCCATGACGATGACAGTATTGGCGAATTCTCCTCTTGACAGTCGGGATGGAGATCGTTCAAAAGTTGTGATGGAGATGGCCAATTATATGAAAAGCGATGGCTTGAGAGTCAAACAGCTGGGGAAGAGAGCAGGAGAGGTGACGCAAGCCGATTTTAAAAACCTCAAGGTACGACATCCCTGTTTGAATATCATCATCATCAGCAGCAGCTTCGATCGCGGACTGTTTCTGTGTGTGCATCTCTTAATGGATGGCGACGCTGTTGCGAGGTTTTCTTCGGTGTATAAAACTTTATTATTAATTTCTTTAAAAATTGAAAGTTCATATATAGGCTGTATTTCTGGGCACACAGGTTGTCCGCACCCTCCCGGAAGGGGCCATCCGGCAGCCGAGCCAAGTGGGTCACACATTTTCACGGTACCGAGTGTCCTTACCACCCGTCTTCTTTTCCTTCTTTTTTGGGGAGAAACTTACATCCTTTAGCTAGGTCCGGGTTAAAGTAGGGCTTAACAGATACACCCCGCTCTCCCCTCTTCTGTCATCACTCCTCTCTTTTTTTTTTTTTTTTCCTCTTTTGCTTTTTTTTAGTGATCTCTCCTCTAATCCCTTTCACCGGCCCCGTTCTACTCCTGTCGTCTTTTTTTTTGTTGTTATCCTCTCTCCTCTTCCTTCTTAGGCGGCTTGCTGTACCACGCTGCGAATGTGTTGAACGACGACAAAGTGTATAGTGCAGAACAAGGTGGAAAGATACAGTCAATTTGGACCATCTCAGAGATTGGTGCATGCATGCAACTATTGAATAGTATTGATATACAACACCAGAGTTTGACTGCTGATGGAATCAATTTTTGATCAAATGAATAAAAATATTAAAAAATAACTCTGAATTACCTTGGGCCATTTGCTTCAATGATGATACCTCGACATTGTCAACCTTTCTTTTTATTCCTTAAAAAGAAAGTAAAAAAATGTAAAAAAAAGAAAGAAAAAGAAAGAAAAAGAAAGAAAATGGCAATCGTTTTCTTGTCTCCGCAAGTTGTGGAGCAAGAGTCCCTTGGTCGCTCCCAAGTCATGTTCTTGTTTTTCTTTGCTTTAAAATCTATCGTTGATGGTTTCCTTTCTCGTTCCCACTCTTTTTGGCTCCTTCGCTTTCTTGATGCCCCCCTCTTCTCTTTCGTCATCCTATCTCCTTGTCTTCTTCTTTCTTTTCTCCTCTCTCGTGCCAGCTCCCTCCTCCATCCGCCATCTACCGTGTCATCCACCGCCCTCCTCTCTCGCACCAGCTCCCTCCTCCCTCCTGCCATCTACCACCCCCATGTCGTGTGCCATATCTCTCCTCCTTCCCACCATCCCCTTCCTCCCTCCTCCCTCCTCCCTCC